ATAAAATACAACATTTTCAATTACCTAACAACTCCAGATTAATTTCATTTGACGTAAAAAATCTTTTTCCTAGTATTCCTCCTACAGAAACTTTTATTCTAGTAAAAAACCTTTTAGAGCAAAACAGTACAAATCCAATAATTACATCTGAAATTTTACATCTTCTTGAAGTTTGCATAAACCAGGACTACTTTGAATTTAATAATAAAATTTATACAAATAACAGCGCAGGACTTATAATGGGTAATCCTCTAAGCCCATTGCTATCAGATATTTTTATGGATCATCTAGAGACAAATATTTCAAAACATCCCGTATTCAAACAGTTTTTATATTGGTGGAGATACGTAGACGACGTATTGGTATGTTTCACAGGAACTAACAGGCAACTCGACCAATTTTTATCATATATTAATTCACTTCATAGTCATATTGAATTTACAATAGAAATAGAACAAAATCAATCCATAAATTTTTTAGATTTAAAAATTAGCAGACTTCAAAACAAACATGACTTCTCCATATTTCATAAACCTACCCATACTGACACGACTATACACAATTCGTCATCCCATCCAACACAACATAAACTGGCAGCTTATCATAGTATGTTACATAGATTAACAGAAATTCCGATGTCAAAATACAACTTTGAGACAGAATTAAATATAATTAAGCAAATAGCAGTAAACAACGGATACAACGAACAAACAATTAATAAAATGTTAAATCAAAAAACTACACAAGAAAGCCCTGAAATTAGTATTTCCACCACCAGAGAAAAAACCCAGTACCTTCTGCTCGATTACATATACAGGCAAAATAACAACAAAAATTGCCAAGCACATAAAAAAGAAAGGAGTAACACCAGCTTTCCGAACAAATAACAACCTAGGTAAATATATTAAAAATAACAAGAGCCAAAATAAAAAACACTTAAATAGTGGTGTGTACAAACTTCAATGCGGCGACTGCCCAAAAACTTACATCGGTCAAACTGGTAGAAACTTTGATAAACGAATAACAGAACATAAAAGGGCTTTCAAGAATAGAAAAACAGATTCGACATATGCACTTCACCTTCTAGATCATAATCATTCTTTTAATGACAAATTTAAAATTCTTCACATTCAAAATAAAGGCCTTAAGCTATCTTTGTTAGAATCTATGGAAATAAACAAATTAAAAAACACAGATATAATTCTGAATGACCAACTTGAGACAAACAGTTCTCCCCTCCTCAACCTATTTCATTAGAGACTATAAATTTGTAAACCCAAGCCAAAACAGATCACTTGAGAAAGGCAATCAGCCGAAACAGCTGTAGTGATAATATTTAAAATAAATTTTGTGGAAGTTTGAAAACAAAGTTTTCAGTGTTTGATTTTAAATAAATTTTTTGTGATATATGGTATACAGCCAGCTACAGGAACTTAGTTTCCTAGTGGATTTTTAATATAAAATGTGTTCCTCAAATTATGACACAGTTGTTTTTGCTTAATACATATGTAGTATCCAGTTTAATCTTCTGTCCAAGTACATATCTAAAATATTTAATTTCATCTCCTTGTGGAATTCTTTTAGCGTTTAAGAATACAGTTGGATATGTTTTCCTACGCATGATTATAGTATGTGTATTGATTTCTTAAAAAAAAGGATGTCTCAATAGCACAATCTGGAGAAACAAATACCTCACAATGGAAACGAAAACCAGGATATATAAATCAACAATATGACCGATAATGACGTACACAGCGGAAACAAGAGCAGATACGGCGAAAACACAAAGACTGCTGGAAACAACAGAAATGAAAGTCTTACGAAAAATAACAATCAAAGTTTCTGTTGTTGATATAAGACTTAAGGATTATATTGTTTTTTGTTGGTAAATTCTAGTTTCTGGCATTAAATGCCTTTATCAAATACCTTGCTTATGTCCAGGAATACCGTTGAGCAGTACCTATCTATTATTGATTTTTGATACAACTCTATGTCATCATTATCATCAATCAGCCCTGAGTTGTCCATTGTTGAACATAGGCCTCCTCTAGATCTTTCCATCTGCTTCTGTTCTGCGCCTCTGCTATCCAATTGGTCACAATTCTTTTGAGGTCGTCGGTCCACCGCGTTAAGGGTCTTCCTCAGCTTCGCTTGTCAGCCCGTGGTCTCCACTCAAGCAATTTTTTTGTCCCACTGTCGTCTTTAATTCTTGCAACATGTCCTGCCCATCTCCATTTTTACCTTGTAATATGTTCGATAATGTCTTCCACTCCGGTTCGTCTACGAACTTCCTCGTTTTTTATTCTATTTCTTAAGCTTATTCCAAGCATTGATCTCTCCATCTTTCGTTGTGTCCTTCTCAATTTTTCGGCTGATGTTTTTCTGAGAGTTAAGGTTTCTGCTCCGTATGTGAGGACTGTACGACTGAACTCTATGTACATTTTGTATTCTTAAACGCTGTTTTATGAACTCAAATTTTTGTGATGGTATTAGTTTTTTGGTTTTTAGTATAGGTAGCTAATATTTAGCTAATTATTAGCTATTATTTAGCTAATGTTTTTATATTAGCCTAGTAAATGTCAGCTTTTTGTATTGTAATGGGTAATATCGTAATCTCATTATGAAGTTATATAACTAGGTCAGAAATTAAAATCCTCCCTCTGAGAGTTGCTAAATAGTTTTTACAGTAATAAGGTCGTACCCTGGGTCCTTTTTTATTGATGAGAGAATGAAGAAATATGAAGAGACTGCTTTAGAACTCATTACGCTAAAACTGTCAGTACTGATTTCGACATATTTTTCGGATTAAAGTGCAGTTCTTTCAAGAAGTTTAATACTATTTATTCTCTTATCAGGCGTTGTTGTTCCCCTCTGTCTTGATATTCACTAATTATTTTTATGTTCTCATAAGCGTTAATAAACTTGACAAAGTCTTCATGAATGTTGTTATTGTGTATGTATATCAAATAATAAAAAACTGTTAAATGTGGGATACATCGATCTTAATGTCAAATATTACAGAGTAATAATTTGCACTTTGAACCATTATTTGATTCAATATTTTTTTAATTATTTCTTTGCCACAACATGTTACTAATTGAATTTGACTGGTGCTACTAATGTATGTTGCTCGGCAACATGCTGTGAATAGGTGCTGTTTAGGAGCCTCGTCTCCAGGTGCGATTTTAAACCTTAACAATTCCTTAAAACTCAACTCATTGTTAGATCAAGCATCTTCATCCAGGAGCAGGGATGGAGAGATTTACACAGATGCAAGGATGGGAAGGAAATGACAGACGCAGACGCTTCTCCAACAGATCGCGGTTATGTTATACACGCATAGCTTATGTTCTACTACCCTGTATGCTCTACTACCCTGTGTACAAATTTATATTTTTTAACTTCTTGTAGGAAGGGGGTATTTAAAGTTATGTAAACCGGTAAATGGTTGGATTATAAATTTTAAAAACACTGATTTAACGTATATCTCGTTTATTCCATCCACAACAATAAAATCGAGATCATCTGAAATTTTTTCAGGGTCTGCAGGTCCCTTACGGATACTATGTGTAGGTTATCTATTAGTATTACTTTAACAGTTTACACTCTTTGGTATTATTAAGTCTAGAGCCCAACATTAAGTGTTTTTAATTGTAGTATATGCCAAAAATAAACGTAGGTCCAAGTTTATTAAAAAAAGGTTTAAATTCTGCTTGTATATTTAAATGTTTTGGTGTACGATATATAGTACAAAAAGTTATAGGTCCTTGTTCAATTTTTCACATGCGGAAAGTCATATCATTTTTAGCTGTATCAATAACTATCTTCGTACCACAATTTTACAATCATTACCCTACTCCAACCCTTTCTACTTTCACTTTAACATCACTCTTTTAGAAATGCAGACAGCTTAAAAATATCAAACGAAAAAGACTCTCTCTTGCCTGTTGACTATCGCTAGGAACATACGTACTCTCTCTACTGTTGACTGCCACTAGCAACAGAAGTGCTCTCTTGCTTGTTGACTATCGCTAGCAATAGACGACATCTCTCTTGCTCGATGACTATCGCTAGCATCAAACGTAGTCTCTCTACTGTTGGCTGCCACTAGCAAAGATGTCCTTTCTCTCTCTCCCTCGCTTGTATACAGACGCAGATGTGCTCTATCTCTTGATCGTAATTATAGTACCGCGAAATACGTGTTTAGTAACAAGTAAAGCCATACGAGGAATAACCGCAAGTAAAAGCCTACAAATATGGCGGGTGTGCGACAGTGTGCGTATAGCAGCAGTATTGGTAAGACTTTTTATAAATTTGATTTGCTATTATCTGTATAACCCTTTACTACACATCCTAATTTATTTTGAACCAGCCCTATGTAATACAGTCCTCATACACTAAAATTATATTAATAATTTCACATATGTACACTTGTACAGTCCTGACCAGTCTTCTACAACTAAATTTGCGGCTTGAATACCGCTTTGAATTTGTGCTTTTGGATACTGCGTTGTCTGGTAATGTTTGCTGTTTTTTCTTTTAATGATTGCTGTCTCACCGGGTGCAGTTCCATCTAGATGTGTAAAATTTTATTAAACGTTTTTTTGTAAGAATTAAATACGGAACTCAAAAGTATTTAAAAAATGTTGCTCTTTTCGTTCTATAGCGTATTTGATTAATTTTTCATTACATTTTTGGATAAATTGAACGACTGCATCGATTTAAAATATATTTTGGTTTAGAATATTAATAAGTACCTGTAATTAATGTTCCCTGTTGTAAGAAGGGACAGTTGGTTAGCATTATTTAAGATGTAAAATAATTATAAGAAAGAAAAAATAAAAAAAAAACAACATAGTCATTCTTAATAAAAAAGGTATAATAATATAATGCAACAATAACAAGATAAAAATATAATGCATCATCGACACAATGTGAATAAAAACTGTGGTATAAAATTATGTAAACAATAATTTCAAGAGTCTTAAATTTTTTCTTACCTAGGTAACATTCTATTTAACAGTTGCTCCGTCTTTTTCTTCTCGATATCCAATTGCTCAGTTCGTTCCCTAATTAGCTCCTCCAAATTATTGGAATACTTCTCCAACATCTGAAACATTGTGTCAACTATATTGACCTTTCTGCCGTGATTTAATTTCTTGAATTGGTCATGAACAGTATTGAAATCCGGACGCATTTCCGCCTGTTCGGCCCAACACTGACGCATGATATTGATGGCTTCCGGAGGAGCTGCTCCTTTACTTACTGAGGGTCGTATAAGAGGAGGAGGTCGTTTCACCTTTTCTATAATTTCTGAAACAAAGACAAAATTTGAAATATCTTAATTATGAATATTTTATAAATATTTTTGAAGGTAATTATTAAATTGTTCTGAAGCTATTTTCTTGTGGCATTGTAAATTAATTACTATTTAACTGGGAATAAGCCACAATTAAAGATAAAAATACGTTTATTGACTTTTCAATTTCCACTTCGGAAATCGTTCTCAAAATACAAACAGTAAATTAAACAAATTTTGTTTTTTGTTACATAGTAAAAAATTCTTCTAATAATTTAATTTTATCTGACTCATTTATATTGACAATTCAGACATAAATTATGTATTTTAAAGTAGACGACTTTAAAATGATATTGCCAATATTGTTGAGTTGGGCTCCTGGGACGACTTTACTTATAAGATAGTTCATTCGATTACATGAAATCAACTTTAACTTGAGAATATCCGCCAGAAAAATATCATAGCGTGTAATTCGTCTTTAAAAAGACAAACACATGACATGATGACAGTAAAATTCTCCTGTTAGTGATTCCATAGTAAATTATGAGGGAAAAACCAGGAAAAAAACCTCATAATACTATCCCGACATTGTAAGTATTTGTTCGTGAATTTAGTTTACTTTCAACAAACATCTGATTTTATATGTTACGTTATTTAAAAAACATAAATGATGTATCCTCTATATGTTACTGACTTACTAATACTAATATTTTCTTATTAATAACTTCCTCTTTCAATATTGGTAACCAGATCCTACTACATTCTGCCGAGGAATTTGCAACACAATTGGCCCCATTTAGCATAATTAGAGCCGCTTCTTTGATTTTTCTTTTTTTTGCCATCCGTTTCTTTTAGGACTATATTTGAATTATTCCATTGAACCCTATGTTTATTATCCCATGCGTCTTTACATATTTAAAAGGATAGGAAATAAAGTCAACATTTCAACAACATTCGAAACAACAAACACGTTGAGATCTTTTTTGTCCAAAACCAAACCTAACAATGAACAAGAAAGGACAAAGAATTGCATTTATAAAATACCTTGTGAATGCGATCAGTTTTATTTAGGTGAATCATCAAGGCCATTAAATGTTAGAATAAGTGAACATCAATCTTATATTAAAAATAGAGAATTTGATAGATCTCAAATATGTAAACACGCATGGGATAATGAACATAGGGTTCAATGGAATAATTCAAATGTAGTCCTAAAAGAAACAGATGGTAAAAAAAGAAAAATCAAAGAAGCGGCTCTAATTATGCTAAATGAGGCCAATTGTGTTGCAAATTCCTCGGCAGAATGTAGTAGGATCTGGTTACCCATATTGAAAGAGGAAGTTATTAATAAGAAAATACCAGTATTAGTAAGTCAGTAACATATAGAGGATACATCATTTATGTTTTTTAAATAACGTAACATATAAAATCAGAATTTTCATGTTTGTTGAAGGTAAACTAAATTCACGAACAAATACTTACAATGTCGGGATAGTATTGTGAGGTTTTTTTCCTGGTTTTTCCCTCATAATTTACTATGGAATCACCAACAGGAGAATTTTACTGTCATTATGCCATGTGTTTGTTTTTTTTAAAGACGAATTACACGCTATGATTTTTTTCTGGCGGATATTCTCAAGTTAAAGTTGATTTCATGTAATCGAATGAACTATCTTATAAGTAAAGTCGTCCCAGGAGCCCAACTCAACAATATTGGCAATATCATTTTAAAGTCGTCTACTTTAAAATGCATAATGTATGTCTGAATTGTCAATATAAATGAGACATATAACATTAAATTATTAGAACAATTTTTTACTATGTAACAAAAAACAAATTTTGTTTAATTTACTGTTTGTATTTTGAGAACGATTCCCGTGGAAATTGAAACGTCAATAAACGTATTTTTATCTTTAATTGTGGCTTATTCCCAGTTAACTAGTAAGTAATTATTATAAATAGGAAAATATGCACTAAACTTAGATAAGATTAGTAAAATCTAAAATAGATAATCGAAAAAGCACTGTATACTGTAACTTAAAAAATATATAATTCGTACGATTTTGCGTTATTTTGGCCGTACTTTCAAGACCTATCTAGCCACCTGATTGATTTGTTTAAAAGCTGTTTAATATTACCAAACTTTTTTTTTAATTTATTACAACTGTTCATACTAAGTGTTAAAACAATTATGCACTTAACTATTTTTTTAGCGAAAAATTTAGCAATCGTGGTAGGAGGAATTGGAGATCACGTTACTTTTGGTTTGGGTTTGGAAGAGAGCGGTTCGTAATCGCGGCAATGGTACTTTTCCAAAAAAGGCTAAGAACCATATTATTAGAGATGTCTATCAGATATCAGAGTATTAAGTATGCACCGATGGTACGACTAACAAAAATATTCAAACAAATATATTTAAACGGAGTAATTCCAAGATCATGGCTGAATTCAAAGTTTATTGCTCTCCCAAAAGAAAACAAAATCCGTATCCTGCAATGAGTTCCGGACCATCAGCCTATTGAGCCACATTTAAAAGTTGTTTCTAAAAATCATATATTAAAGGATATATAGACTATGCGAAGAAAAAATCAGCCGTACACAGCTTGATTTTCGAAACGCGGTGGGTACGAGAGAGGGTCTTTTTAGCATATAAGTGCTATTTAAACAATGTAAAGATGTGAATTGTGATATTTATGCATGTCTCATAGATTACTATAAAGCGTTCGATACAGTAAAGCACGACAAGCTAATGTGGGTATTCACAAATATTGGAATAAACACCCGTGATCTAAGAAGTATTAGCAATATTTACTGGAATAAAACATCGTCTATTCGTACAGAGGTAGGAGAATCCAATATTATCACAATCAAACGTGGTGTCCAACAGGGATTTATATCACCCCTGCTGTTTAACATTTACTTTGAGAAAATCTTTCAAGAAGCAGTGAGGATGTTAAAGCTGAAGTTCGAATTAACGGATAATGTATCAATAACATCAGATACGTGGATAACACGGTAATATTCTCTGAAAGTTATAAAGCCATCCAGGAGTTAATGAATAGAATCACAGACGTGAGTCAGAGATATGAACTTTTACTAAACATTAAAACAACCAATATAAGGTTGAATGTTCGAATAAGTGAACTTTGATGGTACACAAGGCAAATATCGAACCCAGTATTTAATCAAATCTTGCCCAAGTACTTTCGATCACAAGATAATCTTCAGGGGCATCTGAAATAAGCCAAGAAACGTTTTTTAAAAAAAGAAAATTAATTCACTTGGATAAAAACTCCAAGTTTATAGTTGAAAAAAGTTTTTTTATGTGATTAACGTTTATAGACTTACTTCGTCAGTTGTGGCCTATCCAGCAGTAACAGAATGTCATAAATGTAAATTGGGACATACCAAATACACTAAACAAAGACAAACAAACACTTTAAAATTTAAAATTGGAGAAGCTACATTTTATAATAGAAGCCGGAGACAGAATGGCTCCCATCCTGGCGGAGGCGGAAATATTGAGATGACATGTGACAAATGACAGCTTGTGAAGGGCAGTTACAATAGATAAGTGATCTGCGCATTTCATGATTCTCTGAAAATAAGTATTGACCAAAGGTCCAACTGACACCACTATAGGAAATCAACTGAAGAAATATAAAATTATATCTAATATTTTTATGTAGATTGAATAATCCAGATCTCACATTCAAACCTGTCTATAATAATTAGGATCTTAAACTAACATCCTAATTATTATAGACAGGTTTGAATAAGAGATCTGGATTATTCAATCTACATAAAAATATTGGATATAATTTTATATTTCTTCAGTTGATTTCCTATAGTGGTGTCAGTTGGACCTTTGGTCAATACTTATTTTCATAGAATCTTGAAAGGCGCAGATCACTTATCTATTGTAACTGCCCTTCACAAGCTGTCATTTGTCACATGTCATCTCAATATTTCCGCCTCCGCCAGGATGGGAGCCATTCTGTCTCCGGCTTCTATATAAAATGTAGCTTCTCCAATTTTAAATTTTAAAGTGTTTGTTTGTCTTTGTTTAGTGTATTTGGTATGTCCCAATTTACATTTATGACATTCTGTTACTGCTGGATAGGCCACAACTGACGAAGTAAGTCTATAAACGTTAATCACATAAAAAAACTTTTTTCAACTATAAACTTGGAGTTTTTATTCAAGTGAATTAGTTTTCCTTTTTTAAAAAACGTTTCTTGGCTTATTTCAGATGCCCCTGAAGATGATCTTGTGATCGAAAATACTTGGGCAAGATTTGATTAAATACTGTGTTCGAGATTTGCCTTGTGTACCATCAAAGTTTAAACATTAAAAAGCAAAATGTGTGATGATTTCTAAGGAGAAACTTTTTTAAGTTATAGTTCACTATATTTCGTATTTTTTATTATTTCAGGTGACTAATCTAACCTCTTTATTTTAATTTATTCTCTTGATTCTATGTTTTTGCTATCCAGTGATGAAGAAATATTATCCAGTTTGGACTTCAATGACAATGTTTTTTTTTCAGAAAATAGCATTGCCCAAACCCAAAGCAAATAGTAAACGCAAATTGCAACCACCTTAAATCATTTCAAAGAAATTGTTTACAAGGAATGTTTTGGACCCACCAAGCTGTTCTACATTACTTTTATTCGATGATGCCTAAGAGGAAGTAATAAAATGTGCTGATGCTGCAGCCAACATTCCATTTGATTCTATAGTAACAAACGACAATAGGTTATTGAAAGATTTGTAAAGGGAATGAAACAATATTTCATCTGAACAATTTGAAGAATTATTTGATATTAAAACCTTAGCTTGAACTTAATTAGCAAATACTGACGATATCTAGGAGAGGTTGGAGCTAATCAAAATGTTTTAGAACATACATGGAAGCAGCCAATTGGAAATCATAACGAATTTGAATGCAGAAAATGGATTATGTGGCAATTACACACAATACTTATAAATGATTTATCGCCTTGTAAGTGTT